AAATCAAAATCCTCACAACTCAGACCCATAAGTAATATTATGATAAACATCATGATAAAAAACTGAGGTTGTCAAGGATTTTAACTTGCTTAGGGTTAGCAATCAATGCCCTTGGAGGCAGTAGTCAAGAGATAAAATGATGCGCCGCATTGGGTAAAGCTACCGCACAAGACTTCTTTACAGTGTTAAAAAAGCAAGGGTGTTACTCTGAAGACTACATGTTACTCTGTGCCTGATCCAAGCTATGATCTTTTCAATCTCATACGTATGTGAAAGTTGAACATTAAACAAGGAGGACTGAAGAAGAATCAACGCATTTGAATTATGATGTTGGGGAAGAATATTGGACTGCCAATAAAGCAAACAAATCTCTCTTGGAAAAAGTACAACCAGAATGCTCCTTAGAGGCAAAGATGGCGAGAATTCATCTCACATACTTTGGACACGTTGTCAGGAGAGACTTGTTCTTGGAGAAGGGCACTAGAGGGTCAGTGGGGAAAAAAGCCCTTCAATGAGATGAAGTGATGCGGCGGCTGCACTACTGCTGTTAAATACAGGAATGATTGTGTGAATGGCACAAGAGCAGACAGTGTCTCTTCCCGTTACACACAGAGTTGCTATGCTATGAGACAGAACTGTCATGATGACACCTAATAAAAGCACATCATATAGAAACATATACAAGGGGGTTTCAAAAAGTTCCTTGAAAATATGGAATTGAAATATAATGGAATTTCTCCACAAACTTTTTTAAACTCCCCCATATTATGTGGTATTTGCTTCAAATGAATAATAAAAAGCTTACCTGTATTTCAGATGTCCAATTATTTATACCAGGCATAATTTCAGTATTGCAACTATAAAAACCTATCAAAAATAAATTACAATGAAAATACATGACATTTCACTTATTTTGTCAAACATTAACATTTTTCCATTATTACATGAAATCCTACCTTTAAGATCGTCATTTTGTTAAAGCTACACATGTAGGAGATTCTATATTAATCTCTACATGTCAATGATAAACATAAAAGGATTAAAATTCTGTTCCATCTAAGTTCTACTGTAAATATTTCACAACTACCAAAAATTCTGATGTAAATATGGTACAACTCCAGTCTTGTCATAGCAAAGCCCAAGACAGGATGTGGAACTGGTGAACGTCTTTCAAATCATATTAGTATTGTAAGAATTAGACAGTAAGCTACTGACATACAAAAGTAGTTTCCTCTCAAAGGTACATCAATGATTGCTTTCCATTCACCTGATGGTGGAGGAACATCAGTGAGCAGGGAATGCACATCTTCCATGGCATCTGTGTCATCAATCTGAAAGTAAAAAGATTAAAATAAGTGGAATATGCCTCGCTTTAGCAGTAAGTTCTTTTAAGCACTGTGTCTATGGGATTAAGGTAAGAATAACAACTGGTAAGATTAGGTAGGAACCTTGGGGGCACAGGGAATTTGTTAATGAAGCAGGACTGACTCAGCAGAGGATGGTGAGAATGGCTGCAACTCAGAGAAAAGAATCAATGACACCGAATTGTACAAATAGGTTGGTGTAGGTTTTGAAAAACAACGTAATAACATTAAAAGAAAATACTTTGTAAGTAGTCAATGTAGAATCACTTCAAATTTTTTAAAGTAACTTTTATTTCCGAAATAGAAACCACAAGAGTCAAGGAAGTACAGACCTATTGTTCTCTATATTAAAAAAAAATTTTAATTGATAAACAGATCTTTAATTGACATCTATAAATTTCAATTGTAGTAATTGAAAATTCTTCAGATAATTTTGCAAATGCTTGTAAAAATATTACAAATGGATACTTTACATACTAAAGGATACCATGTCAAAAGAGCAAAGCTATCTTTGTTGCATTCTATTATGAAAACATGCCGTATATACTCGAGTATAAGCTGACCTGAATATCAGCCGAGGCACCAAATTTTACCACAAAAACTGCATAAAAAATGTGCTGAACAACTCGGCTTATACATGAGTATATATGGTATCTCAAAAGACTTAGTCATTATATCTCAACTTGTTTAAAATAATATAGTGCAATAAAACCTTCTTCTATTAAAAACCTATGTTTTATAATACGTAAATTTAAAGGCAGATTGTTAAAAAGTCAAAATATTATTTTTATGACACTACACCATTCCACTGTAAATATAAAGTACAAATATTCCGGTAGACATATATACGTACTCACACTATTCCCCCAAACACTCTGCACTCCAGATCTCACCCATTCTCCAATTATAATGCCTTATCTCTTTGCTCCCTCTTACTGAATCTGCCTCTTCCTCAGTCCCCCAGCCCACATTCAACTGAAGCCCTGCTTTGCAAGTATCCCAGGATCACACCTATGAGGCTCTAAATCAGTGCTTCTCAAACTTTAGCTATAGTTGCAATTACCTGAACAGATTTTTAAAGAGATTTCTGATCCATCCTTTGATATAATAGTTACATAGCGGGTTTCTAGCCTCAAGATCTGCAGCTTTAAACCCCCAGCCTTTCTGAGGGAGAAGGAAAGGGCTTCAATTCATGCAGAGTTACAGTCTCAGAAACTTAGAGGGTCAGTCCTACGCTGTCCTATAGGGTCATTGTGAGTCAGCATTGACTCTATGGCAGGGAATTTGAGTTTTTTGTTGTTGTTGTTGTTTACTTCAGAGATAGGGACCAAGAATCTGCAAAGGGTTTTATGTTAACACATTTAAACAACTAAACAAAATAAGCAGGCAAGTGAAAAACACTTTTAAAATTTTATTCAATTTTTTTGGGAATAAACTCCAAAGATATAATGCGATTCGCAGAAAAACCCAAAATGTAACAGCCTCCCCCATCCTTGCAGTAAAATCCCTTTAAACTTAAGAATGTTCTGATTCAGCAAGTTTGGTCAAACAAAACCATCTAGCAAGTAAGGCCGTTTAGATAAGACAACAGAGCCTGAGACCTTGAGGGACAGGATGTCTCCTGTTTCCATGAACCATGCCTCCTTTATCTCATTGCTGAAGCCTCTTTTTATTGTAGCAAACCGTTCCGTCAGCTTGCCAAGCGGTTTACGGCATATAATTTGCTTGCTTTTCACTGATTCTTTGAAGCCCACTGAAAGCCTGTAAATCCCACTGCGTCCTTCTGGCAAGAGCTTGCAGAAAAAAAACTTAGAACCTCTCAAATCAACCTGGTCCTTGTCTTTGGCTCAAACAGGAATGGACTTTCTTAGCTGGCAAAAAGTCCAAATAGTAATTTTTCTAGAACCTGGGCATTATTAATCATTTTGTGTTGATCAAAAGCATTATTATCAGGTTCTGATACTCTCAAATTTGTTGTAATTTCTATGATAATAGTATTTCTGATATTTGTATGCTATACAGTGAACCCTCGCCACTTCGCGCTTCGACTTCGCTCTATCGCAGTTTTTGCGTAACAACGCATGCTCTGTCATTACTGCCACTGATTGGCTCATACTGTACACACTTGATGCCATAAATAATATAATAAATAATAAATGATCATTGTAACGTCCAAAATGTTTTACTGTATTTTCCCTTTTTCATTTAATAAATTGGGTAATACGAGTGTAATGGTGACTAAAGGGTGTTTTTTCATGTCCTCTATGCTCTAACTACGAAAATATTTGATTTACAAATAAGGAATCCTACTTCGCGGAATTTCATTTATCACGGTAGGGTCTAGACCGATTTACCGCGATAAACAAGGGTTCACTGTATTTGATTTACAAATAAGGAATCCTACTTCGCGGAATTTCATTTATCACGGTAGGGTCTAGAACCGATTTACCGCGATAAACAAGGGTTCACTGTATTTGATTTACAAATAAGGAATCCTACTTCGCGGAATTTCATTTATCATGGTAGAGTCTAGAACCGATTAACCGCAATAAATGAGGGTTCACTGTATATTCAAGCTCTGGTTGCAAAAATGCATCCTATCTTAAGAAACCTTGACAAAATGAGTCCAATGTAATATTACCTCCAACACAAAGGCATCCTTCTTTCCATGTGAAAGGTCTAATTCCATAACTTCATCAGAGCTTTCTGATTGAGATCTTAAAAGTCTTGAACGTTGCCTAGGTTCTGGAATGGGAGATCCTATAAGCTCTTCAGATATTTC